AGGATTATTTTTCGCTTGATTTCTTCAGATGTTACCTATACTGTCTCTAATATCTTTATAACATATAAGGATATAAGTAATCTTATGAATAATTAATTAGCTTTGTAACACTTGTTCGTTAATAATTTGTTTTTTAATTATATTTTTAAAAGTTTATTTGTAAGTTACCTTCCAATGTATTCTATAATTTCCATTATTGGAGGACCTGGAATTTTGTTTAATAATGTTTTATAAAATCATTCGTATTATCTGTTAATTAATCTGATTTGTCTTTAATCCCCCCAATTAATTGTGCGAGTTTTTGTTTAATAAACCCGTTATTATAGACACCGCATAGACACCAAATAGCAGAATATAGACACCTGCAGAGAAGAATAAAAAAGGACATCAAATTAGCCAAAGAAAAATGGATGAGAGAAAGGTGCGACGAAATGGAGGATGTAATATCTGAACACGACTTATTTAATGTGCCAAAAAATTTAAAGAAATGAGTAATATATTTAAAAAGAGTTCCCTCTGTACTTGTTGACCACTAATAACAAAATTATTGTAAATGAGCAGGAAATAAGAAAAGAATGGCAGCTGTATATATCAGAGTTGTTTGAAGATGACAGGAATAATATTGTCGAATTCTACCAAAACTGTACTGACGGCCCAGAAATTATGAAATGGGAAGTAGAACATGCTATAAATAATGCTAAAATTAGAAACTAATAGAGAATGATAACATAAAAGTAGTAGTAAGACTTTTTAATTCAATATATAACACCGGAGTGATTCCCGCAGATTGGCTCAAATCCATCTTTATCGCAATACCTAAAAAACACAATGCGAGAAAATGCTCAGAATATCGATTAATTAGCCTAATGAGCCACACTCTTAAAATTTTCCTCAGAATACTTCACAACAGAATTAGACGCAAATGCGAAGAAGATCTTGAAGATACCCAATTTGGTTTTAGAAATGCTATGGCAACCAGGGAGCACTTTTTGCGCTTAACATCCTATTACAAAAATGCCGTGACCAAAGAAAAGATGTATTTGCATGTTTCGTGGACTTCGAAAAGGCATTCGATAAAGTACAGCATATAAAATTAATGCAAATACTGAAAAATATCGGAATAGATGACAAGGATATTCGTGTCATTAAAAATTTGTACTGGAATCAAACTGCTATCGTAAAAATTGGAGATAACTACACCAATGAAATCCCCATACAACGAGGAGTCAGACAAGGTTGCATTTTGTCGCCAACATTGTTCAATGTTTACTCGGACCAGCTATTTAAAAAGGCACTTGAGAGACAACCATATGGAATAAAAATCAACGGGGAACTACTTAATGTGATTAGATATGCAGACGATACAGTAATTCTATCAGATAATATTGAAGGTCTTCAAATTCTGCTTGATCGTATTCACGAGGTAGGAGAGGAAATGGGCATTAAAATAAACTCAAACAAAACCAAATTTTTAGTGTTTAGTCGTGACCCACATCCCGATGCAAAGCTTCAATTGAACGGAGTCCAAGTTGAGAAAGTTCACAAAATGACATATTTGGGAACTGTGATAACGGACCAACTAGATCCAGACATAGAAATAAAACGTAGAATAGCAATGACTAAAACTACTTTTATGAAAATGAAGTCATTTCTTTGCAATAACCATCTCAGTTTAGAACTAGGCAAAGAATGGTTAAGTGTTATGTTTGGTCTGTACTTTTGTATAGTGCAGAAGTGTGGACGCTAAAAGTATCGATCATGAACAAAATTGAAGCATTGGAAATGTGGGTTCATAGACGAATGCTGAAGATACCTTGGACAGCAAGAAAAACTAATGAAGAAGTACTAAGGAGCGTCAACAAAGACAGAGAACTGCTAAAGACTGTTAAACATCGAAAAATGTCTTATCTGGGACATATAGTAAGGGGAAGTCGATATAAAATTTTACAACTGATCCTTAAAGGCAAAATAGAGGGCCGTAGAGGTGTAGGAAGAAAACAAGTTTCTTGGTTAAAAAACATTCGTGAATGGACTCAGATACCAAATGCAGGACAATTATTCCATATTGCAGAAGATCGAGAAGCCTTCGCAATGGTGATCGCCAACGTCGGATAGTTCTGATATGGCACGCGAAGAAGAAGAAAGCCGTTATTACGATGCGCAGTTAAAAAAGTCCGAAATATATACATATATTAATAAAAACAGAAAAGAAGTGTTATCTAATAGTACTTTTTCGTTTGCATAGTCAAAATTATTTTGTTAATAACAGTTTCATAAAATCTATGTAACTGTATATTAGTGCAAGCAGTCAGGTAATAATAGTTTGGATTATTAAGGTAGTTATCTAACTCTTAATTAATTTCTAATCTATGCACGAATAATACAAAAACCAAAAGTAGGTCAATAAACTTTGCGTGTAATCCGAACAACTATTGTGTTATGCATACCGTAGAATTTAAACACAAAATGACATTTTTATATGAACAACTCCATTAATTTTATGTGTAGTATTAATATTAATATAATTTAATACCGGGCTGTTGTAGTTTATTCCATAAAAATTAACAACTTGCTTCCATTTGAAATTATCTGTTGATCTTACATTGTACTTGTCTTATACAGGTTGACCAACCAAAAGAGTCCACCTTGATATGTGTCAATAATCATTTCATTTTGTGAAAGTGCCAAAATATGTCGATTTTTGTTTTAAAGGGGACGATATAGATTTTATCTTTTGACGATATAGAAATGTTATTTGTCAACCTCCTCTCTTTAGTCCCGTTTATCAAGGTTTTCACCTACGATTTCCCTAAAGACGCATTGATTTCCTAGAAGTTTTAACAGTAGTTGGGGATTACCCTCTTATCAAAAGCTACTCTATACCGATGTGTGCTCTTTCCCTGGGGTGAATACCCCATACAAATTCGGGGGTGAAAATTTTTATATCCAAAATAACCCCAGAAATGGATAGGGAGACACATTTTAAGCAAAAAATGTTTTATAGATTTTTTAACGCATATTTTTCACTTATTCTAGATTGAATTTTGTAAAAAAAAACACGTTTTTAATAGATTATTCACGAATAACTCAAATATCTTTCATTTTATAAAAAAAACTATAGGGAATAAGTAAAGCTTATAAAAAAACAAAGAGATTTGTTAATTTAATTTTGTTGTAAATCGAATACAAACCGAGATATTATGTCTTCTTAAAGATAGATATTGTTATTTGAACAAAAAATTTAGACAATTTAGTGTTGAATATCAGAAAAACGATCAATTTTACGGAGAAAATGCAATCAATATTTTTAAAGAATATTAAAAGAGCTTTACAATTAGATATGAGAACATCTTCTAGGCTGAGAACTAAGAGTGAAAATAAGATCTATTTTTTGGAAAAAAAACCACAATTACACCCGTAGTATTACTACCCTAATTCCAATTAAAGGATTATGTACCAGTTTGGACCATTTAGAATTTCTATTCTGAAAAAATTATGGTTATAAGAAAAAAAGTGTTTTTGTATTAAAAAATTTTTTTTATCAAAATGGAAACTATCACTGGAAACTATCGAAGATACGTAACAGTGAGTAAAAAACACAAAGTTTTTTTTACTGAATATTTTGTTTCTATTTTTGTACTAATATGTAGGTAACAAATCCTCATTATTGGATTCCAGATACACAGAATTTGGATTTGGCAAGAACGAAGAATTCTGTCTTAGAACCTTATTCCAATTCTCCCTCACCAAATATGATCTAGGAGTACTATGCTCTTGAACCACTTCACCTGGTACCAAATAATTGTCTTTCAGTATGCATTTATACAAATAATTAAACATACCTAATATTCTTAACAATCCTTTTTTATTTTCAGGTTCTTTAAGTATCAGAACAGCTTTTATATATTCAGTGTCAGGCTTAACACCCTCAGAGGAAAAAACCTTAGCAAGATAACTAATTTCAGAGTCTTTGTATTGAATTTTATTTCTATTCAATCTTTTTCAGAGTCTTTGTATTGAATTTTATTTCTATTCAATCTTATACCAAACCTCCCTGCTCTATTAATTACATCTTTAACAATTTTATCATGTTCTTTTGTTGAAACGCCTATGATAAAATCATAAAAGTAAATCCCAATCGGCAAATTCCCAAATATCATTCATAGTATCTCATTCATGTGCTGAAATACCTCAGGACTAACATTCAAACAGGAAGGCAATCGAAAATTTTTCGAAAAAACAGCAAAATTTTCCAAATGGTGTTATAAATGTACCTAGTTTACGACTTTTAGAATCAAGAGGAAACTGGTAAAATCCTTCTTTTAAATCAAGCACAGTAAATGTATTTTTATCTTATAGCTTATTTGATAACTCCTAAATCGTAGGAATAGGAAACTGGTCTAAGCATATCCACTTATTTAAATAAACTGGATCTAAGCATATACGTAGGGCCCCTGATGGTTTCTCTACTATAACTATATTATTGATCCATTGTGTTTGCCCTTCAACTTCAGAAATTATTCCTCTTTTCTCAAGATCTTTTGAAGCCTCCTTAAGACGTGGTTTTACAGTATCAGGTACTCTCCGACAGCTACTATTTAAAGGTTCAGCTTTATGTAACACAAAAAACATTAGAACATTTTTGTTAACAGTTCATTTTTTTCTTTAGAGTAAGTACTTACTGTATCTACTTTTTTTTATTAGATCAATGTTTGTACAAGCTTTTAAACATAAGATGGGCATACTGGTGTTACAATCTATTACCACGAAGTTAATATTATAACTTTTACCTTTGATATAACTTTTACCTTAAAATATCTTGACCTATGGCTATCACTCTACTGTTTCCATAAGTGCTAAGTTCAAGGCTATTTTCCATAATTCTATCTTTTTAAAGCTTTTTACAAAATTTGATGGTAGGCAGTTACAATTAGTCCGTGAATTCAGCTTAAACTTTATAAACTTGTTATTTATTAATATATCAATAGTACAAATATTACCTATATTATTGCTTTTTACGTTATCCAATGTAAATTCATCTACGTAGAGTTCTCCATCACTCTCTGAAGTTAAGATTGCAGCGACAATATTATAAACAGCTTTTGACTTCGTTGCCGAATAGTATGACTTCTTTATATGCCTTTTATTTTTTTGTTTACAACTGAAAGAAAATTGATTTGATTTTCTGCGATTGCTATAAATTTGTTTAAAAGTTGGACAACTTTTGGGCCATGCATTGTGCCACATTTAAAACAGTCACATTGACTGTTAAAAACATCTTCTGCAGGTCGTTCTAGAGTTTTGCTCCTGGAGGGCATACTGTATCTAATTTCATTAACTTCTGCATTTTTTCTGGGGCCTTCAACTTGGAAGGTACTCACTTCTGCTATTCTGTATTGATTTTCGGCTTCTGCAGTCGTTAGGTTTGGAATTCTTAAGAGTTTTTTTTTGCAAGGATTGGTCTCGAATCCCACTAACTAGTTTATCTCTTATTAAGGAGTCTTCAAGACAATCAAAATTGCAATTTTTTGCCAGCAATTTATATCCTCCATAAAGTTATCGAACTCTTTGTTTTCTTCCTGTGCTTTAGTAAAGAAAAAGTACCTATCATAAGTTTAATTTTTCAATGGTGAGCAGTATGTCTTAAACGCAGTTATTACAACATTATACTGTTTCCTCTCCTCATCACTAAGCTTAAATGTTTAAAATATATTTTGGGCTTCTTTCCCTGCTAGATTTAAAAATATTGAAATGTTTCTGCTCTCTTGTTTGCTGGCCAAATCTGCTGCGCCAATGTATATTAAATCTATCTAGAAACTTCTCTAAGTTTTGACTTGAATTTTGATCAAAACGGTTTAAAATTAGAATCTATTGTATTTAAATACGGGTACAGACACCAGACTCCATGTAATGTTTTATATAGAATTTTTCATATAAAAATAATTGCACGTCATTCAAGATTTACGACGTCAGAAACCCATCAGCGTTGCCAAAACATCAGAATAGTTAGTGAGAAATTTTTAAAATGTTAACTATTTGTCAAACTGTTATATTAACAGTAAATACACTTAGTTTTAAGACTACTGCAATACACTAAAATATATAGAAACAGTTTAATACAAAATTATATATTCTAAATTTTAATCTTACCTCTTTTAGAGCATTAATAGTAAAAACGTCCCGCCATTATTTCTTGTTCAAAATAATCTATCTTATATGAAAGCTTATCAGCTTTCTACAGGCTATTTAGTTGTTTTCGCATAGCACAATCACAATACACAACCACAATATTTATAAATACAATTTATAAATATATAATATATTATGATCAAATTGTGTAAGAAATAAAAAAAAACTCTTACTAAAGCGGCAACACTTTAAACAATTTGGCAAACGTTGTCAAATCAATATAGTTCTAAAATTACCAATGATAATGATGATTACATTTTTCTGATTATTATACCATGTTGACGCCTATGAAATATCAGATAGTTCCGTATGGGTTTCGTATTATTAGCTGTGTTAGGAAAATTTGAACTCTAAGGTTGACGTTCTGGAAATTTTAAATATAAGTGACGTCATTTTATATAAATTGTGACGTGCAACGTTTTTACTTTGAAAGATGGTATGGAAACAACTATTCTTGGTTTAATATATATATTTTTGTACTTCTACATGACTTGCTCAAATGTATGTTTTAAGTGACAAGTCTTCTTCTTCTTTTTTATATAGACATGTCTGTTTTTCAATGTGCCTCCAGTAAGTTGTCGTTCCATCGTTTTCGTGGTCTTCCTACTGATAGTCTTTCTATTGGAGAACCGTCTCTTGCCGTCTTTACTACTCTATTTGTTGTCATTCGCTTATATGATCGTTCCCTTCTACTCTTCTATTTCTTATCCAGTTCTTGATGTTCTCCACCTTGCATCTACTTCGTATATCTGTACTTCTAGCTCTGTCCCAACATTCTGTTTTATCCTCTAACATCCTAACATCCTTTTTGTGCTCTCTGTGTCAGGTCTGTTTCATAAATTTTGAGAAGGCCTTCGATAAAGTCAGACGCCAAAAGCTGTATAAAATCCTAAGAAGCAAAAACATCGACAGTCGCGACATTAACATCATATCCAGGTTGTACTGGGGACAAGCAACAAAAATCAAAGTTGATAATGAGTTAACCGAAGAAATTGAGATTCGTCGAGGTGTGCGTCAGGGTTGTGTGCTTTCTCCACTATTATTCAATATATATGTATATATATATATATATATATATATATATATATATATATATACATATATATAATATATATATATATATATATATATATATATATATATATAGCGAAACAATATGCCAGGAAGCGCTCCTAGAGCAAAACATTGGTATGAACAATTAACAGAGAGTTTATTAACAATATACGATACGCTGATGAAACGCTAATAGTAACAGATAACCTAGCAAATTTCCAGTTTTTGATGGAAAACATAAACACCCATACCAATAAGTATGGTCTAAAACTGAACATCAAAAAGACTAAATTCATGATTGTAACAAAGAAGCTATACACCAATGTGAATTTAATCATAAATAATCAGCCAGTTGAAAGAGTTACGTCCTACAAATATTTGGGGGTTTGCTTCACTGATACTAATGACCAGACAAGAGAAATCTTGTCTGGTCATTAGTATCAGTGTAAATGTGTACATAAAGATAGCTGTGATAGTAGCCAACCTCCGATAGGAGACGGTACTGCAAGAAGAAGAATTGTCAGGTCCTGCTTCTGCCGCGTATGTCATTATTGGTCTGATGACTGTTTTGTAAATTCTGCCTTTCGTTTCTTTCCCGATATTTTTATTTCTCCATATTGTTTCATTTAGGCAGCCTGCGCTCTGTTTGCTCTATTCACTTGATCTTTCACTTCGGTTTCGAGCTTTCCGTAGCTAGATAATGTGATGCCTAGATATTTAAACTCCATCACTTGTTCTATTATCTGACCTTCCAGCTCCAATTTACATCTTAGTAAATTTGCTGTTGTAACCATGCATTTTGTCTTTTTTGGGAAATTAACATGTTAAATTTTTTGGCGGTTATATTAAATTGGTGCAGCATACGTTGTAAATCATCTTCACTTTGAGAGAGTAGTATTGCGTCGTCTACATAGCAGATTATTTTAAGTTGTTTTTCTCCCATTTGGTATCCTTTTTTAGTTCTTACTTTTTTTATTATTTCATCCATAATCAGGTTGAACAATAGAGGACTTAGAGAATCTCCCTGTCTTATCCCATTGCCAGCTTCAATAGGGTCGGTTAGTTCTTCTTCTACTTTTACTTTTATTGTGTTGTTTTGGTAGATATTTTTGATCGTTTTGATTATTCCTAGAGGTATCTCTCTTGCATACAGTAAGTGGATAACGTCTTTTAATTTGACCCGGTTAAATGCCTTTGTAAGGTCCACGAAACATAGATATGCCGGTTTGTTGTATTCTAACGATTTCTCTTGCACTTGCCTCATTATAAATATAGCGTCGGTGCATGATCTTCCCGACCTAAAACCTTGTTGTTCTTCTGCTAGTGTTATAAATTCATTCAATTTATTTGTTATCAGTTTGGTTGTTAATTTTAATGTTGTGTTTAATAAATTAATTCCTTTGTAATATTCCGGGTCCGATTTGTCTCCCTTTTTGAAGAGAGCTATTAGGACAAGTAACAGACGTAACGTCACAGGTGGACCAACTTTGTTAAGGTTGATTTGCAGTAAGCTGTTTATGTTACAATTACCTATCGAGAATTTTACCTACATAAACTTCAACCAACATGGAGTTTTTTAATATTTATTGACTGATAACTTCCATTATCAGTTATATAACTTAATAGTTTTTTCATAATTTAAAATGTTACAACTCAAGAGATAGTAAAAATTGTTTGATATTATAGGTAGCCCTGAACTTTACTGTATATTTTTATTACAATTATGTTATCACAGTAATTCTACAATTAAGATTCCTATAATTAATCATGTAATGTTAATTTTCTTATTAAAAATAGTTACATAAAATATCACCTTGCATTTGTCAACACTTAGCACTGATATTTACTAAAACAGTGTATGATTTAAATGTCAGACTTATTGCCTATAGATTTTTTGAAAAAAATGTACGTATACAAACATGTCCACTGCTGCTTATTAACTTAGTAGCTCCTAATTATTAAAATATTTCTTGTCTAGCGTATTACTACTTCCTTAATGCATTGTTCTGACCTACTAAACTTCTTAAATATTTACGCGTTATAACATTTGCTATAATAAAAATATTTATCCATATTTGTGTTAATTGCAATATGTATCTGCAATTGTGTAATCTTGCCATTTGAAGGAAATATTTTAATTATTTATCCTCTTTATGCGTCGTTTAACTTTTTCAATGTTGCACGAACGAAGTTGTATGTAAGCTTTGTACCAAAAATTCCCTTTTTACCGTCTAAGACGTTGCGGGCCGTATTAAATTTGAAATTATTATTATTATTAATATTTAGCCATACGACTCACACTCCCTCTAAGGGGAAAATTCACTCATCCCAGATACCTACGGTATCAAAAGGATTGAGCTCTGGTGGGACTCTTTCCATGTTATCGAGTCCTATAAGTCACTATATGAGTCACTTATAGGTGACTTGGTACGTCGGTGTATCTCCTAAACATTTTCGCACGCATCTGGACGTCGAAGTAGCACAGCTTTCTGCATGACATTATAGATGTTCATTTATGCTCAGCTATTATTATAATTATTATTATTACAATTATTTTTATTATTATTAAGGGCCAGAGAACTCGACTCGTTCAAATAAGTATATTTTAAAAAATAATATAGAAACGAAATATTATTTACAAGTATTTTATTACACTAGTCAACAAATTATAAAAAAAGTTGCGACTGATGTTAAAATGAATGTCCCGGGGGGTTTAAAGCATCCTGATTGCGAATTTAAACACCAAAATTTCTCACCACGTATATATTTTGAGTTATAGAATGCATCACATATTGTTATTGATTATAAAAATTTTTATATACTATATATAAATAAGTCCAGAACTAGAAACAAAATCTATGATAAGTCTTTTGTACACAAATTCTTTGCAAACTCTGATTTTCTTTTATACTCTGTATCACTTTCTCTCATGAGGAACCAGCAGTAATCTCCCATCATTGCTGCAGCCCATCTTCCCTGGTAGCGTTGGTCCATTGTGAGAATATCCTGGTGGAACCTTTCTTCTTGCTCGTCGCTGATCGCACTCAAATTTTCCGGGAAAAAATTTAAATGGGAGTGTAGAAACAAAAATTCGAAAAACAATTCTTTTGAAAGAAATCCATGCAGCTAACTCGACATCGCCTAATTTTTCATCAAACTGTTGATTCCTCAGTATTTTTCTGATTTCTGGTCAAATAAATATCCCTTTTTTCTTTGCGTCACTTAGCTTAAGAAAAATTTGTTTAAGGTATTTAAAAACAATTAAATTTTTATTGTTTAAAATCTACGTGGCGAAAGCACTGTATCAGTGGAAGATAAAGTGCAGAGGAATGGGCATTGACCTGACAGAAACTTGCCTATATACCCTACAGTTTGCAGACGATCAAGTCCTTATAGCAAACGATAAAGAAGACCTGACATATATGGTCAGAAAACTACAGGAAGAATACAAAAAGTGGGGTTTAGAACTCAATACACAAAAAACAAAATATCTCCCAATAGGCGCAGAACTATCCAACATTCAGATGGACACAACCGAAATTGCATTCTGCACTGAATATACCTACCTAGGAATTGATTTCGACACCACAGGCACAGACAATAGGGAAATTAGAAAACGAATAACCCAGGCCCGTAGAACAATTGGATGCCTTAACGGAGTTCTTTGGAGCTCAGAAATTGGTAAAAGACGAAAATACAATATATATGAATCTCTCATAAAAACCAGCTTAACCTATGGTACAGAGACATGGAGACTAACAGAAAGCAATAAAAGAAAACTCGAAGCAACAGAAATGGATGTATTTAGACGATCACTTCGAATATCTAGGGCAGACAGAATTAGAAACGATGAAATAAGGAATCGGATGGGGTAGATGGATCACTGGCAACAGACATAGAAAGGAAACAACTTATATGGTATGGCCATGTTCAAAGAATGCCAGAAACAAGACTACCAAAAATCGCCATGAAATGGATACCACCAAATCGTAAGAAACGAGGAAGACCAAAAAGAACATGGAAGGAGGGAATAACAAAGGCAATGAGCTCCCGAGACTTGACCGAAGAACAATGGAATGATAGAAATTCGTGGAAATTAGGTATCGGACAACGACGCAAGACGTTTTGAAACCGATATATATATATATATATATATATATATATATATATATTATATATATATATATATATATATATTTAAAAACATCTCCTTCTTTATCTAAAGCTTTAACGAAATTTTTAATCAATCCCATTTTAATATGTAACGGATGTAACAGAACGTTTTTGGAATCAACGGGAGGTATATTTTTTACGTTAGCTTGACCTGGAATGTACTGATCTCTTGGTGACCATTCTTTAACTTTGTAAATGGCTCTGTGGTGCTCTACTATCCCAAAGACAAAGAAAACAGCAACATTTTGTAAATCCTCTCTGAAGACCTAGTAATAATCCGATGACTTATGACTTTTATGTCACCACATATTTGCCACTTATATGTACCATGGCCTATTGCATTTAGGATCAGTGACATACTATCATGTCTTTATTTCATATAAACTACATGCGCAAGAGGAATAGATGGTCTTTTGTTGCCGTTATGGAACAGAACTGTAGAACATATTTTACATAAATATTTTACATACATGTAGAACATACAGACAGGATGAACAAACAAAAGGAGGTCGTATTGAGTGTTAAAATGAGGAAACTACAATACCTGGGACATATTACACGTGGGAATAAATATCAACTGTTACAACTAATTATGCAAGGAAAGATTGAAGGTAGGCGCAGCATAGGTAGCAGAAGAATGTCATGGTTGAGAAACCTCAGGGAGTGGTTTGCTTGCACTTCCATACAATTGTTCCGAGCGGCAGCCTCCAGGGTCAAAATTGCCATGATGATAGCCAACCTTCGTAGCGGAGATGGCACGTGAAGAAGAAGAAGAACATACAGAGAATCGTTTTTCATGCGATTACGTGTTTTTGATTTAATATGCTTCAAAGCAGAAAATATACTTTCACATCTGTACGTACTACCAAACATTAAAAATGGTTTTAACGCAAAGTTACGAAGTTTAGGAAAACGATCCTTGGAGACTAACTTCCAAAAGGTACTAATGTCTTCATTTTTCTTTGCTTGAAAAAACGAATCGGACTGTAGTTCGCACAGCTCTAATTGGTATTCTGCTGATTGGTTCTGGATGTTGACTCCCATTGGATTGTTAAAAAGCTCAAGATCGGGTTTTAGTGCATCAAATTCCGAAAACCTTTCATCGAATTCTCTTTTTATTTCTGTAAGAACTTTTGCAAACCTCGAGAAATCGACCATGGTTTCTTCTTATTTATTTCGAAACACGCAGGAAAATGTTTGAGGTCGTTTATTTTCATGCAGTTCTCGAAAAGATCAAGTTTTTTGCGAAATGTCTCAATTTGACCAACCAACTGTGATACTGTCTTATTTTTCCCTGGAGTTGTAGGTTTAATGTGTTCAAGTGAGAGGTAATGTCTGTTAGAAATGCCAGTTCATGAAGAAATGTTTTGTTCTTAAGCTTTGTATAAATACGTCCGCGTTAATAACAATTTCCGTTTCAAAAAACAGTAAGATCTCTTTTCTTAGATAAAAAAAATTGTAAGGCATTTACCTGCACTCAACCAGCGTGTCTCTGAATGTAGGGGACGTCCTTATATTCAGTATTTAATTCCTTCAAGAAAAAGATGAATTTTCGGTAATGCTGAGCTATGTTTCCTCTTCTTAAGCTGTTTACTATTTGCTCTACAGTTTTCATGGTATCGTTGATTTTAATTATGCCTGAAGAGAAAAGTGTTCGATCAACGCGTCCCCAGAGTATTCACATAAGGAGCAGAAACACTTACTCTAAAAAAATCCTTAGTTACCAAACTACGAGTCACACAGAGAAGAATAAAGCAATCCATATTGGAAGCAGCTCAGACAAACTAAAAAACGAAGAGGTCAGGAGAAGATCTAAGGTGACTGACGTCATCAAAAGGATAGCCAGACTAAAATGTAGATTAGCAAAAAACATAGCTAGAATGACGGATGAACGATGGACAATTAGGTTAGTGGAATAAAGACCAAGAAAAAACAATAAGGATCTCAGTCGACCACCTGCACGATTGGCTGACGATTTAAGAAGAAAAAAAATGATATATAATATATAATATAATATATACAATAAAATGATAATGATGAAAGCATAAAGTACTGACAACATTAATGAACAAGATTTTAAGACACAACCAGTAGAATCAAGAACAATCTTGTTGATTTTTAGTGGGAATTTTAAACTATAAATTTAATTTTTTCGTAATTTTTCTTAAATACATGCAAATTTAGCTATGCTCAGTTCTGTAATGTCGCTTCAGGTTATATACCTTTTTAACAGAAATATTTTTTTTTGTCAAATCCATCATACCAGTTTTCCATTAAACTCTTCCATAAAAAAATAAAAATATGTCCATGCTTTATACGAATTAGTTAAGTTTACTGCAGAATAATGTATTCCTTCCATCCAAAATTTGAAATATTTTTGGATATGCCGATAGAAAAATTTATTGCCACCATTATGAAAAAGTTAAAAAAGACCTTTACCTAAATGCAGTTTTAAAATCGAAAACACCAGTTTTGCTGGAATTAATAAGAGACGGCACTGGATGATTGTTTGATGATCTAAGAAAATGTGGTAAGATAGCTTTATGTTTTATACTTAAAATCAAGAAGATTACTCACCATATTATCTACATTAACATAATTGTTAATATATAATAAGTTAGTCCACCAGTTTTGTCTACAATCCTTGGAATCTGCACCTGCCACAACTTTCCATAAAGGACCTTCTCCAGTGTGGTTAAAAAGTGTTGCGTAGTAAAATATTACAAAGGCATATACCGGAGTTAACCTGCAAAATCAAACAGATAGGCATTTAATTTTAAGGATAATTTTTCGACTGTTCTAACAACCATTCAAATTTCGTCATTTTGTGTCATGTGGAACAATTTCACCCAATCATGTCAACATTAGACTGATAATTGCATTCAGTGCAATTTTCAATCCCTATGACAACACGATCGAGTTTGACAACTTCATCCAAATAAATTTCAAAATGTCACGTTTCGGCAATGAGAATGTTCAAAGTATAAATGCGCTAATCAAAGAAAAAATTCCCAGAAATACAACCTACAGTCACAAATATATTTGGGGAATATTCATGGAATTTTGCTGCGGACGAGAATATGAGTTGAATGAACATAGAAGCTTAGAAGAATTGGCGTTGATACTAAAAGATTGGGCCGTCAATATGAGAAAGAAAAACGGGGACGAATTCAAAGAGGCAACGGTGAAGACAATGTGGAACGTTTCGTGCAAACTATTGCAAGAAAAGTACTATAATGACTATAATATTATGATTGACCCGTTTAACAATATAGTGTTTAAACCAGCCCGAGATGCCCGCGATGCAATCAGGAAGAAACTACAAGCAGATCCATGTAAACGTAAGGCCAGTTCAGTTTCGTTAAATTGGTCTGAAATTAACAAAATAATATTGCTTTGGGATGAAGATACCCCTGAAGGTCTTATGCGTAAATTTTACCATATTGCTGCTGTAGAATTAGCGTGGCGAGGAGGAGAGGCAGTTGCTTGTCTGGTGGATTTTTTTCAAATCGAGAAAAATAACGATGACACTCCAACAAATCGCATTGAATACAATCCGGTATTCAGTAAAACGTGCCAAGGTGGTTCTAAAAGCTGTGCAAGTAGTAAATGGTTGGTTATCAATAGTGAGAGACAAAGATGCCCTGTACGTCTTTTTCATAAACTGATATCAAAACGAGGCGACAATATTACCTCACCACGACTGTTCTTAAAACCAAATCGACACTGGAAAAATGAAACTGACAAATGGTACGATAATGTACCTGTTGGAAGAAATACAATGAATGGATGGACTAAATCTTCTGCTGAAGCAATTGGCTTGAATGTAAAGGAGAAAAAGATAACAAATCACTCGAATAGATCAACTGCTGTTAGCGAATTAGCAAAAAGTGGTGTAGAAGAACAACAATTGCTAAAAATTACTGGTCATGGCAATCAGAATTCTATAAAACCATACTTGAATCTCGATCAAGAACACCACAACAAGATTATAAATATTATGCGTGGTAATAGATCTTCTATAGTAGAGAACAGCAACGAATCTAATGTTAACTTAAATTTTAATAATTGTACTTTCACTAACTGTACTTTTAATAAATAAATGTTTCGTTATGTTGAGTTATGATTTTTTTTTCGAAAAATTATCCGCCGAATATCCCTCGGACATTGATGAATGCCTCATAATTTCATGACAAATTTCTCAAGCTCGTTGCTTGGTAACAGCACTCAGCCTTCGGCTTCGTGCTGTTACCAAGGAACGAGCTTTCGATTGTCATGAAATTATCTCGTCTGTTATCAATGTCCTAGGGATATTACTACTGATAATTTTTCGACTGTTCTAACAACCATTCAAATTTCGTCATTTTGTGTCATGTGGAACAATTTCACCCAATCATGTCAACATTAGACTGATAATTGCATTCAGTGCAATTTTCAATCCCTATGACAACACTATCGAGTTTGACAACTTCATCCAAATAAATTTCAAAATGTCACGTTTCGGCAATGAGAATGTTCAAAGTATAAATGCGCTAATCAAAGAAAAAATTCTAATGTTAACTTAAATTTTAATAATTGTACTTTCACTAACTGTACTTTTAATAAATAAATGTTTCGTTATGTTGAGTTATGATTTTTTTTTTCGAAAAATTATCCGCCGAATATCCCTCGGACATTGATGAATGCCTCATAATTTCATGACAAATTTCTCAAGCTCGTTGCTTGGTAACAGCACTCAGCCTTCGGCTTCGTGCTGTTACCAAGGAACGAGCTTTCGATTGTCATGAAATTATCTCGTCTGTTATCAATATCCTAGGGATATTACTACTGATAATAACCAAACAAATTAACAAACATTTTAAGTATATTGGCTATCTGTTAAGTTTAGGTTAGTTATAAATAATGAGTTTCTGATGTCTATACTCACACATCTATCAATAAAACACTGAAAACCTTTGTGTTCTATACTTCGCCAAAATTTATTACAATTTATTATCAGTAGAGCTTTTTGGATATGTGGTTTTTTTGGTGATGTGATTTTTATTATATGTCTACATTTAGACATTTTTGTTTAATGTCTTACTGTTTAATGTTTTCTAAAAATTATTCATAACGTTATTTATATAAAATGTTAAGAATATATTGTTCCAAAACTTTTTCGTTAAATAAGCTACATGGGCATACGAAAAGCTGTAGTTAGTTTAATTATATTCACCTGAAAGTGTCAGCGTCAACAAAAACATGCCTATTTTCTTATACATTAAAAAAGCTTTTAATCAAATCTAGCACGAAAATCTAATGCAGTATTTTGCAAAGTAAGAACTTAAATTTAACTAAAATCAACATAATACATGAACTATGCTGGAACCAACTTCTTTGTTAGGACAAAAATGGAAAATACTGAAATTATAAATATCAAGTTTGAGTTAGACAAGGACGTATGCGTTCATCATCATTATTTAACCTGTTATCAGAAACTTAGACATAGTTGGTCTCAGCGAAGTCAGAAGACCTGGCGAACACTTAATTAAACTAAAATCAGGACATAGTTTTTACCACGTAGGTGATGACAATAATTCCTTGAAAGGAACCGGTTCATTATACACAAGCGTCTCAAAACAAGTATAGTATCACTAAAGAAATTTTCCACAAGAGAGATTTGTCTTACTCTTAAATTGAGTACAAGGTATAATATGAAAATAATACAGGTTTATGTACCAACAATAGACCATGATGAAAAGAAGTGGATCTATTCTATGATGATATCGAAGCTGCTCTGAAAGACCATCAAGAACATTTTACTTTTATATGTAACCCTACAGGAACACCACTTGAAAACTTTGGCTACTGTTAAGGTTCATGCTGCAACATGAACTATTCCAAATGAACAGTTTTTTTTTTAAGAAACCACAGAGAAGATGAACTAGATTTTATTAGCACGGACAAAAAACACACCTATACAAATTCTTTACAAGAATAGTAACGAATCGTCTTGAGAAAAAACTTGATATCTACCAGCCAATAGAGCAAGCGGGATTTCGTACCGGATTTGGAACAAATGATCAGAGAATTAAAACGGTAATAGAAAAGACTATCGAATACAATCGACCACTCGTTCTGG